ATTCCTCTTTCTTTTGTTTTCCTATCGCACTTATTTTTCTTTGTATTAACATTACATTTGATATAGATTCATGTTTTTATTCTTAATTTAAATTAAACATCATTCATTCGATAATTTCAAATATAAACTAATTTTAATCATTTTACTGGTATTTAATTTATTATTTTATCGATTGAAAACCAAGAAATAATTTTAAAATAGAATTACATATCAACAATTACCCCCATTTTTATTTATTTGTTGTTATTGTTAAAATTGTAAGAAATACTTTCTAAATAAATATTCAATTCTTAAATTAGAATGATAACAATAATTTTAACGTATTCAATTTTTTATCTCAATTTTGTATTTTCTTTTTCATTTTATCGTTAATGTATAAAAATACATTGAATATCAGTATTTACATTTATTTAATAAATTTATTCAACTCTTTTTTTGATTTTATCTTTTACAACTTTCTTCTTTTTCTAACAAATTATTGTGATATAATTATTGTTTCTTGTGTGGATTATTTTATATTATCATTTATATTAATTATATTCTTCTTTAAAATAAAATTACCATTGAACTTTTACTTTCACTTATTCTTCAAATCATTGTTAATTTGAATTGTATAATATTTTTCACTATTCAATGATTGTTGTTATTTATCAAATGGTTAAATAATACCTTCCAATGAAATATTATAAACTAACATTTCATTTAATTGTTGTTAAAAGTAAATAAATTTATTGAATTAAAAAGTTTTATTCATCTAAAATCATTTTATATGAATATGTATTTGATAAAGTATACAATAAAGAAATATGAAATGATTGATGATAATAAAAACAATGGAAATAAACAAAATACAATGATAACAAATTAATAGAAATGAATAAATATTCATATTCAATTTAATAAAATAGTGAATATAAACAACTTATTTATTTATTATTATTACACAGTTTATTTAATTGTATATTCATTTGATGATTTATATTAAAACTAATAATTAATCAAATGTACTTTCAATTTATTTTATATTCATTACTATGAATAATATTAGTTTAGAAATATAAAATAGTGATATATTATTACATTTAGATAGAATGAATATCAAATGATTTACAAACACTACAAAGTCATGATAAAAATAATTAAATACATTTCATCAATGTAATTTATGATAGTATTAACATTAATTGAATATTGTATTCAAATACGATAATATATTTTTATTAATTTCTTATCAATTTATTAATATGTATTTTAATTCACATACTTTAATTAATTCTGTTATTATCTTTTTATTCTCTTTCCACGTTTTTCATTTATTTCCTCATTTTTCATTTTCAGTTTATTTTCATTGTTTGTTATTATTTTATGTTTCTAATACGTATTTCTTTTATTTTTCATTGTAGTTACTCAATTTCTCTTATTCATTATTCATTTCTCATTTCTCTATCAATACTTCTTTCTCTAATTATTATTCTCATGAATATTTTAACTTGTTCTATTGTATTTGTTTTCTTTATAAGAATTATGAGTATTACTCAATTGCAATGAATGTAACAACATGAATTATGTTAGAAATAAATGAGCTTCATCATAATTATAATAATTTAAACTAATATAACAAGAAATGATATCTCATTCATTGTTGTTTGACTATTTGTCAATTAAAAAAGATAAGAAAAGAAGAATATAAAGACAATATTCAAATATTGAATTTCAAATTAAAAGAAGATAGAAAATACAACAAAGAGTCAATAATAAAAATAATGATAGAATAAAATAATGTTTATGTATTTTAATGACATTAATAACTGTATAATTTAGAATTTGGAGTTGGAATAGTTTCAATGAAATATGAATCACTTTCATTTTAATTCATTTCATTTTATTCATTATGCAAGAAGATTATATCGTATAATTGAAATGTTTCATGATTGAATAATATTTAAATACATAATATGATATTAATTATTCAACATGTTTAAACATACCAAATCATGAAATATAAATATGAAATACAATATTAATAGAAGTTAAATTACTTGAAATTTGTTATTTTACATATTGTTATTCATTAACAACAATTAATCTTCATTCATCTAGTATTGAACTAGACATAATTCCATTCATTAATTTAACTCATTAAAATAAATTAATATCACACCAACAATAACATCATTTAGAACAACTTTGTTTTTATAAATGTTTTTGTAAATAAATATTAAGAAAAAACTGAAGAATATCAGAAGAATGACTATAAACAGTACTGAAAAAGAATAAAAGATTAAAAAAAATTTAATGATATAATTTGATTAAAAATAAATACATAACAAACAAAGGAATGAGAAATTATCATTAAACAATCACATACTTATTGATATGAATATTTGTTTACAATTACTTTATTTCATGACATTTCATTTATCTTCTTCAATAATTTAATTCATAAACATAAATTATATCAACAATATTTAATGATAAATACAATGAAAAAGAATGAGAATTATAGAAAGAAATGATCAATAATAATTATTAATTACTTAAATATATTTAATCATTTGAAATTATTTTAAAACAATAAATGAGTAAAATAAAAGAGAAGAAATACCACTTCTAAATAACAATATTTGTTTATTTGTGTTTTATTGTTTTGAGATGATAATTCTTTAGCCACATTTTTAGTTTCTTCATCAACTTTCATATTATTCGTTGTTTTGATATATTTGGTGATGAATTTTTGTTTTCATGACTATCATTCACGGATGGGCACAAAAATAATCAAAGAAAAAATGCATCTAAATAAAATACAAAAAAGAAAAAAGATGCAAAAAAATTTGCATCCATAGAATTTTCCATTTATTATATTTTGCTCCTAAATAAAAAAATAAAAATAAAAAGTATGATAAATACAGGAATATGTAAATAGTTATGTTTATATTTTATTATCAATTGTATTCATTTTGTATGAAATATTAATGAAATAGATGATTTGATGAATCATATTTATTTGTATTTTTTATTCTTTTCTTTATATGTTATTTATCTATCGTATTTTTATATTTATTTCTCTGTTTATATTATTTATATCATTGTATTCTTCTTATTATCTATATATTATTATATTATTCTTATTTTATGTTTTTATGTTTATATTATTTAGATTTTCTTATTGTTATTCTTTTCTATTTAGATATATTTGTTTATTTGTTTATTCATCTTATTCATTTTATATTATTATCATTTATATCTATTTTCATTTTATATTTATTCTCTTTTGTTTTATATTATTATTAATTTTATATTTTATATTTTGATTTTATTATTATATCATTGATTATCATTTCTCCTTTTATTTATCATTTATTCTTATTATTCTTTTGTTTTATATTCTATCTATGTCATATATTCATATCATTTTCATTTATATTTTATCACTTATTATATGTTATAATAACATAACACATATGATTGATTATATCATAAACATCATGATGAAGTTATACATATAAATAATAAACATAAAAATAATAAAATGTTTTTCAATAATAAAATAATATTACTCATTTTACATCATTAAATTAGACACTTTTATTTCATATTTCAAATTTTTACATTAAAAATACACTTTTTATTTCTTCTTTCTTTTCATCTTTTATTATCTATTCTATTTTATTACTCTTTATCTTCTTTCTTCTTCTACTTTCTTTTTATTCTTTTATATATTTATATTCTTTTTATATTATTTGCTTTTTTTGTTGCCTTCTTTAATAATTCAATTATCTTATTTCTTTATTTCTTCTTTATTATTTAAAGCAATATTCTGGTATTCTTGCATTCTTCTTGAGTAATTCTTCTACACATCCACATCCATAAAAACATCCATATCCAAATGATGTAATTGTTGATGGTATTTCAATACTTCTTAATGAATAACATCTATTAAAACATCCTTTTCCTATTTCATTTACACTTGTTGGTATTGTAATACTTCTTAGTGACATACAATATTCAAAACAATTTTCTCCTATTTTACTTACACTTGTTGGTATATTAATTGATTGTAATGATTTAGATTCACAAAAACACCAATATCCTATTTCATTAACACATGTTGGAATAGTTATTATACTTAATCTTGTACATTCTTTAAAACATTCATTTCCTATCATTTCAATATGTGTTGGTATATTGATTTCCATTATTTCATTACTTCCACTAAAACATCCGTCTGATATTCCATAGTATCTTTCTGGTATGTTTCTTCCATATTTCTCTCGATCTTCAATTCCAAACATATTTTTATTTTGTAGTTACTTCTTCTTTAAATTTTGTGGAATGATGAATTATTATTTCTATTTTATTCCAATGATGTTTGTCATTTTTTATTTTCTATTTTATCGTTACATAAATGAAGAAAATATTATCATCATTCTTAATGTCTTGTTATTTATATTTATTTTATCTAAAATTATGTTTGTTTTCTTTTCTGTCAAATTTAGTTTCGTTAATATTATTGTGTCGTTATTTTTATTTTATTATATAACATAAATGTTGTTTCATTGGTATCTATATTTTTTCTTGTCATCATTTTCTTTTTATTTCTCTTTTTGTCTTTTGTGTTTATTACCCCCATTTTATTTTCTTATTTTTATTATCCTTCTTTTATTTTCTTTTGACTATTTCCATTTATTTATTATGTTGTTTATTTCTTTATTCTTTATAACTTCTTTCCTATCTTCAATTTTTTAAATTTAAATTTAAATACTTTTCAAATATGTTTTATTTCTTCAGTGTTATGACTCTTCTTATTATCATTCATTCTTATCATTTCTTTTTAAAATAATTAAATAAAACTAGTTAATTAAGTATTATTACAACTTGTTTCTATTATTCTTTGTTTCAATGACACTAATCACATCCATTCACTTCCCACTATAAAATTCATTCCTTTTACTTATCATATCCTTTATGTTTTCTAGAAGTATGAGTAAAACACCTCTTTATTTTATTTATTCCAATCAATATCTTCTCATTCATTTTTACTTCTTCCTTTTTAATCCTTTTGTTTGACTTATACTTTATTTTGTTAAGGAGAGAGAGTAAAGCATTACCACTGTATTATGACTACTTCCTTTTTTCTTAACCTCATTTTATCATTTACTTTTCATTATTTTATTTTGATTATTTAATAACATTATTAACATCATTCATTCCAATTGATAATTCATTAATAAACAAAAATATAATCATTGTGACTAAATTAAAAATTAGAATAATAAATAATTTTTTAAAGCGTAATGTAAAATTATTTAATCATTTTTATTCAATCATAACATTATAAATTTATTTTTATTTAATGATGTTTGTATTTCAAACTAATAATCAAAAACAAACTGTCATGTTAAATTATCGATAAATTTATTCATTTATTTTTAAATATTTTCTATTTCCTTTTATTTCAAAAATACATTTTCTGTAAAATTAAAAAATAATGGTTATGTTACATTCGATAAAATATTTTATTTTTAAATTATTTTGTTGTTTTTCATTTAAATAAAATATGTTGTGAAGAATATTTCAAAAAATGAAGTTATTTATTTCAAATGAAAATGAAATGTTTTTTAATAATAAACAACATTCATCAAATTGATAAATATTTAACATGTTTAATTGTTATTTAAAACGATTATCAATTAACAACAATCAATAAATATTAACAAATTAAATTATTTATCAATTGAAATACAAGTGATTGAAAAATGCAATTTGTAAATTCAAAATGAAGAAGAATGCTTTTAAAGAAAATAATGAAACAAAAACAGAAACTAAAGAAACAAAATGAATATAATGAGAAAGTGATAAATAAGATATGTTTATTATTGATACATTCGCGTTACAAGACACAAAAGAATGAAAAGAGTGTATCTGAATAAATAATTGATTATATTAAAAAAAGAATAAAAAGAATTTTAAATAATTAATAATGTTTTGAATTTCAACCAGAATTTACATAAAATAATAAAACAATGGATAAGATAATATGGAATATTTCCAACATTAGACATTTAGAGACATGTTTGTATCATGTTGATCAAATGTTGTTGCTATATCCATAAAGAAGTTCATGAAGAAAAGAAGAAAATAAAAGTAGATAAATATCAACAAAAATTATTGAAATTTTAAATGGAATAACTGGAAAATATTCATTTTTAATGTAATTTGGTGAATCAAAATGTTTATATTGTTATTATAATACATAAAGATAATATGGAATTGTAATGATGATGACAATGATAATATTATTAACATTAATTAATGTAGAATAAATGAAAAAGAGATAATTGATTATCATAGTATTACTGAAGAAAAGATAAAAAAAGATAGAAACATTATACAAGAAAAGCATAACCAAATAAATAAAAATAAAGAAATTACAAAGAAATAAAAGAATGAAATACATAGAAGAAATTAATTGTTGTGATTTGGAAATTGAAAGAACTGAAATTAAATAAATTATTCTTCATCAAATTAACAAGAAATAAGTGAAAGAAATAATTAATTAAGTGTTATTAGATTTTTAATTTATTCTTCATTGCTCAGTGGTGAATAATCACATCCCTTTGCTGTTTAAAAAGAGTAATATTTTTGTTTAACTTATCATTGATGTTTTTGTATGAGTATGAGGAAAGCACTTCTTTTTTTTATTTCTTCTTATTAAAATATTCTCAATTTTCTTTCTGCTTATTCTTTCTTTTTTATCCCTTGTTTGTTTTCTGCCTTAATTTTAAACATTTTCTTTTTTCTTATTTTTACTTTATTTTATGAAAGACCCTATAATATTCCCATGCTTCGAATATCTCAGTTATTGTCTAATCATGACATACCTTTGGTGTGATAATTTCTATTCAAAACTAACTGATTATTATTCATTATTATTTATAAGGATTATTATTTACTATGGGAGTATTACGTATTAAAAATTATCATTTATTAAAGAAGATGCATATATAATTGTTATTGTTGCACAAAAATTTAACATAATGATATTAACAATGAATAATTTTTCTTTAAGGGGTATCGAAGGTAAAAGGAGATGAGTCATAATCATTAGATTATGGATATACTCTCCTTAAAACAATAATATAAAGAATGAGAAATATTATATTACTCATTAAAATCAAAATAAAAATCAGGCAGAAACTTAAATGAAGAACTATTTAAGTCGAGCATGTTTGAAAAAACAATATTTCAATAGAAATAAAGCATGTTGATGAAACTGATTCTCTCACTTCTCAACGTAATGAAAAACATAAAGATGATGTCAATCATAATTGATTTATTATCTGTTTATTAATTTCTTTATCATATTATTTTCTTCTTATATATAATTACGGTTGTATTTATTATTTGTTTGGTTTTGTTCTTTTTGTTTTTAATATTTTAATTTTTCATTTGATTTATTTGATTTTGAAATTACTATTTCTTATGTTTTATTTTATCTTCATTTATAATTATATATTTAATTCCATTTGTTAGTTTTATTCAATATATTGTATTTAAACACACATTTAATATTATAGTTTTATCATTTCTTATTTCATTTCAACTAAATTATTAATTATTTCATTCTATTCTTTTTGTTTAATTTTCATTTCTTGTATTTATATTTTCGTTTTTCTTGTTTTTCCTTTCTTATGTTTCAAATGAAATATTTTATTCAGACACATTTGTATTACTTTGTGAAGTATCAATTATTTATGTTGTTATATTGATTTTATTATCATATGGAATATATGTTAATTTTAATTATTGTTCTTCATCAATTGATATTTTAAATCTTTCTTAATCTTCAATCACATTGTCTTTTATATTTTGTTTTATTTTTCATTTTATTTTCTATCATATGATTGAAAAACATTCTTATCGAATTGATTTTTATCATTTCATTTTAATTTAAACATATGCCAATTATTATATCATTTATTTATTGTATATTTTCTTTTCTTAATTATTATTTTCTTGATTTATTATATCTTCTATTAAAAATGTTTACTCATCATCTCTTACAATTATTTCATTACTATGTGTATAGAAATGTGATGATCATTTAATGTTTTAATTGTTTTTCTATTATCATTTATTGTTGTTTTTATCCATTTCATGAATGATAATTAAATTATTAGTTATCTTTATTTTTTTTCTTTTTTTCTTCTTTATTATTTATTATTATTCTTTCTTCTTTTAAATATAATACATTAAAATTCTCTTCTTCATTCTTCTTATCATTTATATCTCTTCTTTTATTAAAAACCAACTTGTTGATTAACTAATTTTTGTACTATTTGTATAAATTATCAGAAGTATCAATAAGAATAATAATGATGTTATATGATTAATATTTGAAGATAAAATGAAAAATATCAATCTAAATAAAACTAAATCCAAGAATGTGTTATTATCATTATATATTAATATTTCTATTTTGAATAAATTCTATAATGAAATATAATTTACTCAGTATTATTCTGTCTAATATTATCAATTGAATTAGATCTTCTTGTTTATTATAATTGTAATTCATTTCATGTTTATTATATTCATTGGTATTGTAAAATCATGTAGTTGTAGTTAATTGTGTATTAAAAAGCATATTTTAAAAGTTGATTGAAGTTATTAACTTCATCATTTTCTAAAAAATAAAATTAATGTTAAAATATATCGTTTACAAAGTGATATGATGAACCAACAAACTAATAAGACTCAACGAATATACAAATATATTTAAATTAACAATACTAATTAAATAATGTTGTTATTTTAACATATTCATGTTTAAAAGTAAAATATTTTGATTATTAAGTGTATTGAAATATATTCTTAGTTTAACACTATGAATAAATGAACATGTTTTAAATTCAATTTATTAATATTTGACCTGACTATTCATTTATTAGTGCCAGCTTTAACGTTAAATGATGTGAATGAACTTAATTAATTTGTTGAATTATCAAAAACAAAGAATGATAGAAATGAACATAAAGTATAAATATAAAAGAAGTTAATAATGTTATAATAACTATACCATGTATTACATTAACATATAAAATGATAGTTACAATGGCAATAGATGAGAGAAGAAAATATATGAAATAAATAAAAAAATATTCATTAAAAGATGATGAAATAGAAAGATTAATGAGAAATAATTGAAGAATAACATGAGAAAATGATGTATTGATAATTTTCTAAAGAATAGATGAAATATTAATGTTGATTAACTTTAATTAGACTGTGT